GGGGCTGTATGAATGGAAGAGATAAGTATTATTCCCAGTAGGTAACATGCTTAACCTTTCAAGAGAGTGCTTGACAAATTTTTCTCTTTCTCAAGCCAGTTTTCTCCTTCCTGGGAGAATTCTGGTGAAATGATGATGTAACATTAAGGAGAAAATGTGTGTGTGTGTGGTGTGTGTGTGTGTGTGTGTGTGTGTGTGTGTGTGTGTTGTGTGAAAGAGAAAGACAAGAGGCGCAGACAAACAGTCCTTGGAGATGAGACAGCAGAGGGAGGCAATTAGAAAAAAAAAAAAAGGTGGAAAGTTCATGTGGATTTTTCAGGTTTAGTCCAAACTCTTGCTTTCTTTTCCAACGTTCAAATAAAGCACTGGCCATAAGTGCTTTTAAAACATTTTATTAAGAGGAATTGAGTATATAAAAGAACGGCTTTCCTGCAGAAGTACAAAAACTACCTCTTAATGTAGGCTGAAAAGTTAGAATGTTTTAACTGTAGCCATAAGGGAGCAAAAGACTGTTGGTGTGTTGGTCACTAATGCGCCAGTTCAGGTACCTTAAAGTGTTTAGTCTCCTGTGGAGTTGGCCTCCTATTTTCAGAGGACCTTTAATCATTTGGATTTCAACTCTAGTGAAAACGTCCGTACCACCTTCTGCTGTCAGAGAGTTAGGACCTGGATTCCATCCACTGAGTAAGAGCACTGCTTTAGCGGAGGATCCTTGGCTGCCACTTTGTAAACAGACTTTTGCTGAGAATTTCTGATGCACTTTGTCCTTAGGCCCAGACTCCTTGGTAATGCTAGACATAAAACAGCAATTCTTTTGCTAGAACTATGCTTATGAGTAAGGCTATCTCATTATAGGCAGAGGGGTACATAAACAGGAGGTAGTGTTGCTGTCCTTCATATTCATACCAACGTAAGAATCTTCTTAAGCAAAGCATGAACCTCTTCTTCTAATATGTGTCCTTATATTCCTTCCATGACATCTATTTATTTCAGTATTTCCATAGCAACCACAGCCAGGAAACTGCCCCAGATTTAGAGGATTTCTATATTGTATCACATTATACTAAAGGAAAAAAAAAATGATAAAAGTGCTATTAATCAGATTAAGCACTAATATACTAATTGTATATTAGTAAACAATTTCATGTATATAAAAATATCACAACTGCTTATTCCTTATCTTTGAAGACAAGGAAGAAATTAATATTTCCTTTTAGTAAATGAGGACACCAATACTCGGAAGCTAAATGACTTACCCAAGGTCACACCAGTAGAGCTAGAATTAGGATAAATACATTCTATTTATATCACTTCCCAATGAAGTTTTAGTAATCTTTATTTTAATCTATTTACATATTCAAATCTACAAGAATAACCAAAACTAGGCTTTCAAGAGACATATCATCAGAGAAGAAAAGCATCTCATTGATTTTGCTAATAATTACACAAACTTAAAATAACTATGACATGATGTGCTTATTATATTAATTCAGAAAACATAAATAAACTTCTCCCATAGGGGATAGGTTGCAATTTAACATACGGTTTCATTATTGTTGATGGTTCTGTAAATTGGAAAAATATTTCGAAAGAAATCTAGCAAGGCAATGCAGAAGTCCTCCAGATTAAATTTGATTTGGTAATATAAATCAAATAATTTATGCTAAGGATATGATTCAAAATAAAAAATAAAAATTTCATTCAACTATCTATAGGCATGTTATATATAATTCTAAAAGTTTGGAAAACACAATACCTTTTGACTGGCAAACGGTTTTAAAATGAAGTGTGTTATGAACATTGGTATTAGGTTAATAAAAAATAGAAAACAAAATATGTCAAATGATTAAAGAGAATTACAATGCTTGACTGAATCAAACTAGTTTATTCATACCTACTTAAGCACAAGGATTAAGAACAAACTCAATAAACCACAGGAAAATATTAAAAGTCACTGAACCAAAGCTGAAGGCATTATTGGTGCATTTTCCCTCAATATCATGTAAATATGTAATTTAAATGGGATCCTAAGTTGATCAACAACCAACTTAGGCAGAAGTAAATTTAATTTATACTAGACTGGTCTCATTTCTGAACCCAGAGTATCAAACATGGTGGTCCTTATACAGTAAGCCAATGTCTTAATAAATCTCATTCCATCAATAATGAAAAAAAGAAAAACAGCCACACTGAGTGATGGCCAACAGCTAGGCTTGCTCTGGTTTGTATAAAATACCTTTTAGACATCCGTTTTCAACAGTGTAACCAAAGGCAATTTTGCTGGATCACATAGAAAATGCTTCCTATTCTAAGGTCTTTGGTTTCAAGAGAGACACACAGTTCGAGGATTCTCCTTACTGCAAACTCGATCTTCAAGGCAAATTTGTTTTATTTTATTTGTTCAGTTTCCTCAACCTCTTTACACTTCTAGTATGCAGCTTATTGGACTTAAAAAGTTCAGAAGAAATTAAAGTTCTGATACATCCATCTGAGGGCTTCAGGGCTATGCTGAACTCAAATCAATACTGAACAAGGGTCTTTGAGTAAAGCTTAACTGAAAATTCTCATAAGAATTAAATTACATTTTAGAGTCACCACAAATAGATCTCATTAAAGGAAAACTGTGATTAAATGTTTTATGAGGAAAAGAAGTAAAAAAAAAAAAATGGTTAGAATTTCCATTATTTGAATTCACTCAGCTCTTCCAAGTATGTGATTAAATATCTCCCAGATAGTTTTCCTTGTCATAAGCATAGTATAGTAACAGCAAACCAAAGAATAAAGGGCTGGCATCCTACAGAATCACAGAGACCCATCCTATGCCTGGAATGGAGATAGAAACTTGAGCCCACACACCATAGAAACCTATTATTTAGTCAGATTAGACATTCTCCAGTCTTATTACACACTCAGAAAAGGAAGCAAACATTTAAAAATGGGAGAGGAGTATGTCTGAAAGGTTATAATTTCTTTAAGGCCAGTGAATTTCATTGCACAGGTAAGGTTCCCACATTCAGAAATATTAAACAGGTCCAGAAACTTTATATTAAAGTTAATCCCAGAATAGCATTTATTCCACTACTTTTCCTGAAGAGGCCAAGTGTGCTTTACAAGGATCATCTCATTTCTTCTTCATGAGCCTTTGGGGAAAATAACTGCCATCATCCCCATTTTATAGATGAGGAAACTGATACTTGGAGTAAATAACTTTCCCAAGGAGATGAAGCATTAAGTGATGGAACCAAATTCAAACTCATGTTCTTCCCACCCTATTGCGTTATTTCCCAATACTGTATGATTTCTAGCTAACTAGAGCTAAAGAAGACTGCCACAGGAGCATCATTAAAATTGCGAAAATCAACAATGGAGTCAAAAAGGACAAAAAACATACAAAAGAGCTATAAAAAAAACCATAACAGTTTGTTTTGCTTGGTGTAAAGATGCCACTGGGTGCCTCCACACACTCTGCCAACATCACTACCTTAGGGGGCATGGCAACAAATAATTTCACAGACGTGGTCCCAACTCATTGTGAATGACACTCTGTTTAGTCTGCTTAGAAAGGCAAGGAATTATGTAATACCTTTCTTTTTCAATAAAGATTTTAATCTCTTGTTTACTAGACTTACTCTTATGCATAATCTCTCCTTCCAGATCAATGGCATTACTTTATTTTTATGTTTAGGAAAATTAAAACCATGTAGCATCTGCAAAGAATATAAGACTCTGGAGTGTGAATAACTGAATGTAGCCTTGGTTCTGACACTAATGATAGGTCATATGAAGTCACTTTCCTCCTCTGGATGTCTTGGCATTCTCATTGCTGAAGAGAGTAATTAGGCAAATTATTTTAAGGTTTTTTTTCCCAGCTCTATCATTGTATGGCTTTACATGTGTTTCAGTCACCTTTTGAAATAAAATGAAATAAAATTGAACCTAAGAGAACCATACTGAATCCTGCAAAGCCTTATTCTTGATGAACTTTCAGATCTGTGCTATAGACCCCAAGGTTACAATGAGTTACAACTGCCAAGTTATAGGAAAATACTACCCAGGCCAAAAACTTCTTCAATAAACATGAACTTTGCAAAGCAAAGTATGACTCCCAATACCCTGTACCCAAGGTTTATTTTCTGTTGAAATCCCGGGGCACTGAGGGCCAAACCATGACTGTTTTGTGGGTTTGCAAAACAAACAAACAATCACACTACTTTTCCCATCAACATGTGTTAAACAAAGATTAAAATCATGCTGAAGAATAGCAAAGAAATTTGCATTAGATGATAAAAGTTTCTATTCATCAAATTACCCTATCAGAGGATAGTTTAAGAGGTAGATTAAGTAAGCAGCACTGCAAAACACTAAGGTAACATGACTGAGAGTTTTTTAGTTACCCAGGTATATTATTAAGATATAGTTTTGTGTTCTGTAATAAAGGAAAACAATGATAAGCTGATTCAGCATTACTGTTCGTTTCTCTTTAAGGTGCTTTATAATAAACAGTTCCTCTGTTTGCATCATTAAAAACCTGCTCAATAAGAGGGTTAAGAAACATTTTGGTAGATAAAGGTGACTCAAAGAGTCCAGTATTCTGGAGGAGGACTGACAAGTCCAGAAATTCTGTAAAGTTTCCCTGAAAATACTGGGACTTGAAGGGCAGGGTAAGATCTTATACGAGGTGTGACTCAGCTACTTGGGAAGATTTCTGATGATTCAAGGAAGAAAATTTTAGCTTGTATAAACATGCTTAAAAGCCACAGGCTGATGATCTTCTAAACGGCAGCCCCACCCTAATACACCTTTCTAACCTCATATGAATGGGGGATATGCAGAAAAAATTACATATACCAATTTGCACACACACACACACACACACACACACACACTTTGAAGTCTAGGAAGAAGTAAAGATTTGATGGCTATATTCTATCTGGAGTGACTGTCATTCAGCCACAGAACACATCTTTGCAAAGCACTTGAGAAACAAATCTGGAACTTACAATGTAGCAGGGCTCGCAGTATGCTTTCTTCTCCACAGCATAGAACGGCTGCCCTCGGAGCTTGTTGTTGCAGATGATGCAGGTAAAACAATCCACGTGGAAGACCTGGTCCATGGCAGTGCATCCTGTACCTTCTCCAACGACGTTTTCTCCACAGCGAGCACAGCGGCCTGAACAAAAAAGGTTTGATAAGAATGCACTTAAGAACACTTTAGTCCTGCTAAAGCCGAAGTGGAGGAGAGAGCAGATTCATCACGTCAGCAGCAATAGAACCCCCAGTCCTCCCGTCATTAACACTAGCAAGGTCACCGGCACAGGCACCCCAATCCTCTACAAGATTGGCATGGTGGGGATTTTACATTAATCAGTTGAAGAGATTGTGTCTCCTAGTCTAAGTTCTTACAGAAAGGAACAGTAGAACCCAGTCTCTGGCTTTGAGGCCCATGCTCTCACTCTAATCTCATACGCAAGTATAAAAGGAACATGACTCAGGATGTTTGGAGTGGAAGGCACAGTCTAGAAAACAGTACAGAAAAGCCTTTCTTCTTGGAGATTCTACGCACCCAGTTAGAATATAAGATAATTGGGTCCAAACTCAAATTTTAGTTCCTTTCACAAAAGCCCTGTTTGTAAAACCTCTGCAGCCAGTCCTCCACGACAGGCAGATTGCAAGGCAGTCCTTTAATTTCTAGATCGCTTTGATGGCTAAAATGTTCTTTCTCCTACTGAGCCATAATGCTTCCTCATTCTAACTGCTTACCCCATTGTTCTAGTTCTGTCTTCTGAGACCTCGTGAAACAAGTATCTCTCTTGGACTTGACACCCTTTAAGATATCAAAATTCAGTGAGCACTGCTTCCATGTCTGTTATTCCCTTGAACATCCCCACATGCTGCAATAGTTTCATATATTGTAGGGTTTCGAGTCTCCCAGGGCTGTGGTTCTCATTGTTCATGCAATATTCTGCATAGCTCCAGCATTCTTAAATTGATTAATGTGGCATCTGGCCTACATATGGACATCAGGTTTCAGTTTTTAAAATTTGCAGAAAGCTTTAAATGATAACAATAAAATATACTTTGAAACAAATATTTATGTCAGTGAGAGGCATTATACTGGTTGCCATCCGTATCTCTATCTGGCTTCATCATGGGAATCTTGAGCCAGACGTCATGCCTACATCTAGTTTCCCTTCTCAGTCTTTGTTTCTGTTAAGTTAAAGAAAGTCCTATCTATTAATTACAGAACATTGGGAATGTCAGCCAGAAGCTGTAGGCTTTGATAGGTGAGGTATAGCAAACATAGAGCTTCTCACATGTCAGATGTTTTTCTAGTGGCTTTAGATATATTAACTCGTTTCATATTCACAACAATCTATATGCAGGTACTGTTGTTATGCCTATTTACAGATGAGGAAACAGAGTCGCAGAAATGGCTAACTAACCCCCAGTCTGAGCAGTCTAGCCTCAGCGTCCATGCTCTTAACCACAATGCTATATTGCCTATTACCAGTTCTGTGCATCTGGATTAATACAGCTCTGACCTTAGGGAGCATTATGGAGAGACTTCTCACTGAAGACTGCTTTCAGCGCTCCATCGTATTGGATTGACAACCATTTCACACTCAAACATGAGAGGGCTAGATGTTTCAACTTGAGAGAAAAAGGGTAAATTTATGTCTAATTCTCTCCAGTTGTGGTGCTGGAAAGTATCTCTTTATATCATCGTGTGGGATTTGAATGTGTCTTTAAATATAACCCAAAGTATGCATCTTAGTTGTTTGTTTTTTTCCTAAGGAATAAGAAATATGAAGGCCAGGTGCAGTGGCTCATGCCTGGAATCCCAGTATTTTACGAGGCTGAGGTGGCAGATCACCTGAGGTCAGGAGTTCAAAACCAGCCTGGTTAACATGGTGAAACCCTGTCTCTATGAAAAATACAAAAACTAGCTGAGCATGGTAGTGCCTGCCTGTAGCTTACCCAGCTACTCGGAAGGATGAGGCAGGAGAATTGCTCGAACCTGGGAGGCAGAGGTTGCCGCGAGCTGAGGTTGTGTCACTGCACTCCAGCCTGGGTGACAGAGCAATACTCTGTCTCAAAAACAACAACAATAACAACAAACCCCAAAAGTGCTGGAAAAAGAGTTAAAGTATTGGAAACTGAGAGCCACTACTACAGTTGATATTATTAAAAGTCTTGATATTTGATGAAAAAATCGTGTATAGCGTTTGTTTGTGGCAGGCTTTAAATGTGAACTTGTACCTGTTTTTATCATGAGATAAAAGATGGTTTTACATTTTGGACCTTCCTGCCAACAATAACAAAGCTGTTTCATATGACACTATTTTTGTAATTATTCTGAAGAAAGAAAAAAAAACAAACCACACACACAAAACTGTGCTATGTTTGAAAATGATGCTTAAATTCTATCAGCTTCATGCCACCTGACAACATTTCATTACAAAAAATGAATTGGGAATTAGGAGTAAATGAATTGCCAATCCATACGATTATTAAAAGCATACTAGAGGCCAGGTGCAGTGGCTCACGCCTGTAATCCCAGCACTTTGGGAGGCCGAGGTGGGTGGATCACTAGGTCAAGAGATCGAGACCATCTTGGTCAACATGGTGAAACTCCGTCTCTACTAAAAATACAAAAAATTAGCTGGGCATGGTGGTGCGTGCCTGTAATCCCAGCTACTCAGGAGGCTGAGGCAGAACTGCCTGAACCCAGGAGGCAGAGGTTGCGGTGAGCCGAGATTGCGCCATTGCACTCCAGCCTGGGTAACAAGAGCGAAACTCCGTCTCAAAAAAAAAAAGCATATTAGATTCCTGTGAAAGCTGTAATTTTATATTTCACATTTGTTAAATGGAGTCAGGTCCACAAAGTTATTTTTCTATATTACTCTTTCCCTTTCTAGGTGTCAAGTGGATTCATGACATAGGCACGAGGGGCCACGAGGGATCTGTGGACCACACTTTACCCCTTCCCAAAGCAGTTGACATTAAATATTAAACTGTTGGTCATGGCAGTCTACTAAGCAGCTAGAAGTAGCAATTTTGATTCAGACTATGATGCCTGAAGTGTAATATCTGGAATCCAAGAACCTGAGCCTACATGGCTTATGGAAAGTTTGGGAGGCCGAGGTGGGTGGATCACAAGGTCAAGAGATCGAGACCATCTTGGTCAACATGGTGAAACTCCGTCTCTACTAAAAATACAAAAATAGCTGGGCATGGTGGTGCATGCCTGTAATCCCAGCTACTCAGGAGGCTGAGGCAGAATTGCCTGAACCCAGGAGGCGGAGGTTGCGGTGATCTGGGAGCAAACTTCAATCACTGATTTAGAGGGAACAGCTAGAGCAAAGCCTTAAAGGTCAGGCTGAAAAGATAAACTTTGATATGGTCAATCTATTCAACCTCAAGTATCTACTCTGGCCCACAACCATGTTCTGCTTCTGGGTGATAAACAAAAATGAATTAGACAAGGTCATTGCCTCTCACAGTCAAGACTACCTACATGCAATAGTCACATGGCAAAGCATGTAACACCTCTTAGAAGAAAGTGTTATGGAATGTGGGAGGAAAACCACATTCAGAGGGGCTCAGGAAAGGTTTTGTGGAGAAAGAAGCATTTGAGCCCAAACTTCAAGGATGGAATTTTGATAGGTAAAGGTGGAAGAGCGTAAAACATTCTAGTTTTCCCTCACAGAGAGAATGAGTAACTGTGGCTTGAATACCAAAACACTGCAGTGGCTGTGTGATGGCATCTCATGGTTTGTCTTCCCAGCTATGAGAACAGATGGACAGTATTCCTAAGAAGCAATCTTCTATTTGATGCCTTGGAGAATATTCCTCCAGAGTGGGACAGCCTAATATGCTGGACTCAAACACGGCCAGCTCTGCTGCCTCTCATTACTTTTTCTATTCTTGGGATACACTGGGGACACCGGCCTTGAAGGAAATCAGTCTGGCACCTTTGAATCACAAGTACAGAAAAAGAGCAAGGAACAAAAAATAAAAATAGCCCCTTATATCCGCAGAACAGAAAAGGTACCTGAATGTTCCCTTTTCACATGAACAAACATTTACAAAATATGTCCTTTAGGGAAAGATTCAGAATGAAGAGAAAGACCCAGGGATGGTGTGAAGAGCTTGCTGGCAATGCTGAGCACAGTCAATCAAAAGATGCAATGACAGAGGGCTGGCGGCCTATGGAGAAATTTGTCAGTGAATTAAGATGTCCAAACAAAACAAAGAAGGGTGTTTATATGTTATTACTTATTTTCTACATCGCTTTGTACTGACTCTAGATTGAGCCATCAATTATTCTTATCCTCTACCTCCGCTCTCCCATCTATAGCAACCTCAGCAAGGTCTCGGAAACGCCTGCTTTCCACCACACGCCTACTACCTAATCATGTTTCCTTTCAAGGGCTATTGCAATGGCTTCCTGACTGTTCTGATGTCTCTGATTTACTTCCTCTTACCCACAGAAAGGCTTTACACAAGTCTTAATAATGGAGCTAATCTGAAAAGTGAGAAATTAAACAAGTCATTTTTAGGGATGGCATGGGTGAAGGGTGGCATTCCAGGCAAATCTACAGGTTGAACAAGGGAAGTAGAATAGTATGATACGGGTTTTCAAGGTTTTTAAAATTAATTAATTATTTTTTTGAGAGACAGGATCTCACTCTGTTGCCCAGGCTGCAGCGCAGTAGTACAATCATGGCCCTCTACACTCGTGAACTCCTGGGCTCAAACGATACTCTTCCCTTAGCCCCCACCACCAGTAGCTGGAACTACAGGCACGTACCACCATGCCCAGCAAATTTTTATTTATTTATTTATTTTGGGACAGAGTCTCGCTCTGTTGCCCAGGCTGGAGTGCAGTGGCGTGATCCCGGCTCACTGCAACCCTTGCTTCCCAGGTTCAAGCAATTCTCCTGCCTCAGCCTCCCAAGTAGCTGGGATTACAGGCACGTGCCACCATGTCCTGCTAATTTTTGTATTTTTAGTAGAGATATGGTTTCACCATGTTGGCCAGGCTGGTCTTGAACTCCTGACCTCAGGTGATCTGCCCGCCTCCACCTACTAAATTGCTGGGATTACAGGTGTAAGCCACTACATCCACTAAAAAATTTTTTTTCTGTAGAGACAGGGACTTGTTTT